TTCAACTTGGTGTAGAATATTGGAGTTAACAGACAAAAAAAAAACACAATGGCTTGAAAGTGTGCCATTGATTGCTGTGATGTGATTGGCTGATGTATATATCTTTCCAACTGATGTTGATGTAAAGGGAAACCACAGATCAAAGAGTCAGACTACGTTGTTCTTTTCATTACCACATGACGTAAAGCTATGTGGAACAAGGAAAAAAGTAATGATAGTGATGTCCAATCAGTGAAGCGAGAATGATCTGTTTTTCCAAAATGGAGGACTTTGACCTAAAAGTTTACTTGAAACTACTGTAAATACGAGCAAAACAAACATACATAGCTCCAAAACATCGAAAAAATAAATGTTAGCCGCTTATATTAAATATTGGAATAAATTACAAACACTAAGAACAAAGAAAACATCAATTATCAAAAGCTGATGAATAAATTGGTGTCATGCAATCCTGAATTGTCAAACCCCAACAAACTTGGGCATTAATAAACTTTTAGCAAATTTGAAAGTAAAACTTACCACGAATCCATGATCGTTCATGTTTAGGATTAGGTTTTGACCCTTTAAGACAATAAGAAAACCTCTGAGATCAATTAACTGTGTCGAAATTTGCAAAATCATGTTAGGCCAAAATATTGATCAAGACAACTTCAGAGTCTGTAAATGCAATGAAATAAATGTGACTCACCATAACAGCTAAACCGATCAAAGCTATGTCTGCCCTGCGATGCAAATGAGAAGAGAGAACAGAAAGGCGTTGAGAATTTTGACTCGACATTTAGCAAATTTGGACTAGACCATTCGAACTCAGAGCTCCATGTCGAGCGATTGGAACGCCAATTTTGTGCAACATAAGGGCAAGGGTAGATCCGGGCTAACAACAAGATCAATTTGCAGCAATAGTCGAAACTCTCTTTCTGGATTGTTAAGTAAAGAAGCATAAATTTTAGCATACTTTTGTTCAGCCATGTTTCTTTACAATGTTTCCCAGGCGTCAAGACTTGGATATGTACAGCAAGTGCTGAAAAGGGTGGTTACATCACATGAATATTTATTACCCTAGGGAGATTTAATGACCGCGTTACACCAATCAAATTCTGTCACATCGTAGCTTGAGCAATGAAGCGGGAAAGTTTTAACTAATTTGTTGTTTTACTGGGACTTCTCGTTTAGGTTCAAGCTTGCATGAGAATTCTGCGCGCATTTGAACGAGAATATCGGAAAAATACACCGGTTACAAGTTAATCATTTCAGCATACATTCTGTCCATAAACATTGTACTGTACATTCCGCACAACTGCCGATATTAATACCACGTGAGATGCACGTGGAAGTCAATAGTTTCACGTGTCTTTTATTTTTTCTTCAGTTCAGTTATTAACCCATCTCGTGCGGATCACCACCAAGTAAGTTTTCCTCTGGATTTGATCAGGAATTGTTTCATTTATACCTTTAACCTTCTTTGCAGAAGGTTGAAGGTATAAATGAAACAATTTATACCTTACTTTATGAAACAACATTTTTACCTTACTTTATGAAACAATTTATACCTTACTTTATACCTAAAGTTTTTTTCTTTACAGAATTATTCTCCAAGCATGGTTCAAAAGGAGCTCTTTGAAATCATAAAGCAGAGAAAAGAAAAAAAAAAAGATATTTTCGATACAAAGCAAGCAAAATTGTATGTTTGTTCAATGCTTTTTTGTTTTTCCCTTTTTTCAAATTTTCTCTCTTTTTTCTTCCTTCCTTTCTTTTCTTCTCTTTTTTCGTTTTCGCTAATCTTTTGTTTGTTTGCTTTTTCAATCGGAGCTTCACGTTTTCCTTTATCTCTACCAAACGGTTCTCTCTGTATCCAGCTGTGACAAATATATGGTAAAGAGTTTATAGAGTCAAGGAATACAAGAGAATCAAAAGCCTCGGTGATATCACTTTACCAAAGAGGAAATCAAACGCAAATAAAGTAACGTTCACCACTAACACCACTAAAGTACCGCACGTGCAACACTAAAAGGTAACGATCAAACATAACTAAGGGCGCACATCACGTGGCAATTAACCACAGAATCCACAGAACGAACAAAAGGCACATCACTATATTGAACAAAAACAGAGCACATCACTACCATAGCGATAGGACAAGCAAAGGGAGCTTGCATCACCACCGTACCAATCAAGCTAGACATATAGAGATCGCGAAACGTGACGATCAATAACAATAATAATAATAATAATAACGTATTAATTTCTAGTGCGCTTTATAACATGTATTGATCAAAAGGGCATTACACTTGTCAAAATCTAGGAATTCAAACACAAAGAAAATGCATATCACTAACGTAACGAAAGCAGAGAAAGTACGCTGCATTAATACACCAACGCAAACCAAAGAGAGTGCGCTACACAGATGCAACAATCAAAGGCGGAAAAGGGTCCGCGTGAAACTAACATAAAACAATCCAATACAAAACAAATAGAGCGCGCAACACTAAGGCGAAGATCAAACGCAAAACAAGGAGATCGCGCAACAAAACGTAAAACAATCAATACAGAAAAGAGAAAGCGCGCGAAACTAAAGTAACGTTCAAACGCAAAACGAAGATAGGGTGCAACACTAATTTAACGATCAAACGCAAAACAATGAGAGCGCGCAACGAAACGTATGCCAATCAAATGCAGAACTAAGAAAGCGCGCGATACTAATGTAACATTCAAACGCACAACAAATAAAGCGCGTGAGCTAATACAACATTCAAATGCATAACAAATAAAGCGCGCGACACTAATGTGACATTCAAGGGCAAAACAAATAAAGCGCACGACATTAATGTAACATTCAAATGCATAACAAATAAAGCGCGCGACACTAAAGTAACATTCAAACGCATGACAAATAAAGCGCGCGACATTGATGCAACATTCAAACGAATAACTCTCAATAAAGAAACGACAACTTTGAGTTTAAATTTCCAAGACATGTATCGAGATTCTCATGTCATCTTCAGTTGCAAATGAGATACCTATGAGAGAATCTATCCAGTTGGTTCTCAACCAGCCAGGTTTTATGAGCTACCTAAAATGCACTAGGCTCGGCCGCCTAATGAACCACCTCCTTTTCGACCCACAGTATCTTCAATAGGTACCTACAATTACAATTTATCTAATTAAGTTCCTTCGTAATCTTCTTGAGCCACATGTCCCGCGTGAATACAACGTCCGCGACACGTTTTCTTTAGTACATGAAATCAACCAGTTATCAACCTCAGGGAAGTTCATGGTATCTTTCGATGTTGAGAGTTTGTTCACTAGTATACCTCTTGATGAATGCATTGATCTGGTGATCAGATACATTTATCAAGGTAACCCTGGTCTTAAGATAAACGCCGCTAACCTTAAAAACGCTTTTTACCTTCGCAATAGCTGAGACTGGTTTCTTGTTTAAGGGTGTGTTTTATGATCAAATTGTAACGTAGCCCTACACGTAATTTGTAACGTACCGGAATATAAATTCAAATGTACAACCGTTAAAAGCTCATTTGCAACTGAAAATCACATCAGAATGTCGAAACATGTCTTGGAAATTTAAAGTCAAAGTTGTCGTTTCTTTATTGAGAGTTATCGTCACTCTGCTGTCTTTACGTCCTTTTCAAACGAATAACAAATAAAGCGCGCGACACTAATGTAACATTTAAACAAATAACAAATTAAGCGCGCAACACTAATGTAACCAACAAAACGCAAAACAACGAGAGCACGAAACAAAACGTGTAACAATTAATTGCAGAACAAAGAGAGCGCGCGACACTACAGTATCATTCAAACGCAAACAATGAGAGAACGCGACTTAAACTCGTAATAAGCAACGAAACAAATGAGAGGGTGCGAAACTAAAGTAGTATTCAAACGTATAACAAATAGAATGTGCGACTCTAACATAACATTCAAACGAAAAACAAATAAAATGTATGACGTAAAGTTCAAATCCAAAACAACGAGAATGTGCGACCCTCACGTAACATTCAATCGCAAAACAAAGAGAATGCGCCACTCTAACGTAACATTCAAACGCAAAACAATGAGAGCGCGCGACAATAACGTTTACATTCAAACGCAAAAGGGTGTGCGCAACACTAACGTAACAAGTAAACAAAAACGATCAAACTTTCAGAGAGGAGAACAGGGATCATTAGCGTCACAATTAACGAAGAAGGCGACTGCAGGATTACCAAAGTTGTACTATCAGCGACAAAAATTATGGTAAGCTCTCTTGCACTTGCAAGAACAATTGTTAAAAATTTCAATCTTCAAACCTCTTCTCCTTGCAAGATACCACCAGTAAGTTAACTGGAAAGGCCCAGAAATGTTTCAATGTTTTAAGTTGTCCAAAAGAAACGTTACAATTGCAAGTTAACTATTCTAATTAGCAACTTCTATTAAATTAATATATCATCACACCATCACGCTTGCCATATCAATCAAAGCTCTTGACTAAACAAGAATCAAATGTGGTAATTGGACATTTTGAATGGTTATTTCTGCACACTACATTTAATTTTATCCAGTCTCTTAACTTAAAATGAGTATTTCTTCGCCTTCAGAATAAGATATGATGTAACCCTCTCAGTTGTTCATCAGTACTATCATCAGGTAGTATATTAAAGAAAATAAGCAGTCTCACTAGAATTTCCATAAGTTAAATACCTAGCCACAGAATGAAAATCTGGATGCCAAATTTATCTATAGTTTTCATTGAAAAGCAAAGCTCATATAACCTTAAAACCCAAAGAGTGACCAGCATCTAATTTCTCCTTACAGCAATACAGCTGGATCACTCATTACGATCACGAGAATGAAGGAAATGATCACAAGACAAGGAAGATTTGATTGTTAAACAAATTCTCCTTGTCAGCACCAAAGGAAATGTATAGAGAACAGTATGGGAAATATGGTTACTGATGTTACGGTGTACAAGGTAAGACAAAATAAATATTTCCTTCTTTGGCCAAGAGTAACAAGATATTTATTAGAACCTTTTCCTATTATATGTTGTATGTTGTGCCAGCACCACCGCTCAATGTCTTCAATTCAATACAATTGCTACTACATACAACTTAAATGTAATGGAATGATAAATATAACCTCTAACTTCTTGTTGAGACTGTTGTCAGATGTGTCCCTTGTCAGCTACAGAAAAAAGTAAAAGGGCAGGCCCTCCAGTATATCACTGCTAACCCTGTGAACTAACCCAGGGTAAACAGGAGATTGGCATCTAATATCAAATCAACATCCTTTGTTTATTCAGACTTCAGAGCAAACCAAAAAACCATAATTTGGATTCTAAAAGCATTAATTAAATCTAAAATCAAATTCTTGATTCATTAACTTTTACTGAAAGGGTATTTGTTACTGCAAGTAGTATGTAATCAGTGTGCTGGTCAATGACAACTTGTTAGGTACCTGTCCTTGGACACTACAACCATCATTTGCTTCTGTTACACACAGGTTACTGGGTTTCTATCAATTTCTTTACCAAATATTTGCACATAACACTGCAGCTATTACTGCAGTAGCTTCCATAACTTCTCAACCTTAAAAACCCTCATAAAGCTTGACCAAGAAAACCCCAGTTGCAGTTCTCAGGAGCAATTTCAAAACAGATTTCATATTTCATGGTGCAAACTTAAAAAATACATTTTTGAACAGTTGTCCAGTTTCTTCCATGCCTGAGCTCCACTTGGCATAGTCATAATTATAACAAATCAAATTTTTACTCTTTAATTGTGCTCTCCTCTCACTGCTATGTCCTTAAAAGTAAGTAAAATGTTTTCTGTCAAAATGCCACAATTGTTTTACCGAGGTTCTTCCACAATTGGATCTGCCTGGTCACTAACATCTTCAATAACAGTCTTGTGTTTTATTGCAGGCTTGGTAGAAAATCCATTGTTATCGTGTGGAGGTAAAACATATTCAATTGCTGGAACCTCTTGTGAAAGCAAGTGATCAACCAGTGCAATGTCTTTGCTACGTCGCTCTACATCTTCAGCCTTTGTCCAAGACATATCAGCTTCAAGCCGATAGGCTCCTAAGGCCTCATGAGGACAGCTTGGCCCCCATTCCTGTGGAAAAAAAGGAAAAATAACATGTAATGATGACTTGAAAATGTTTTTTATTCTTACCTCTTTTTAATGTCATTTGTAATCTACTAATAATCAGATACCCAGCCACATGGAATCTGTTTTTCACTATACATGCATTTTGATTGTGTCTTACTTACGATCTATTGGACAACAGAGATATCATGTGATAATATAACCATTACAAACTTTTGTCTATTAAATCATACAAAAACAAATAGTTTCCATATTACCAGTTGTCTGTTCAGCAAAAAATAACAGAGGACTTGAAAATGTAGTACTCTTGACTGTGGTTTGTCTGTCACTTATAAGTTCTCACCAAATTTTGATGTCATATGTGATGTAAGGCTGAACAGACAAATGGCAACTTGAAATCTATTAATTCAATATTTATTATGGAATAATCCACAATCATCCATAATTCATGATACAACTGCTACTAGACTAAAATGTCAGTGCTCTTCTTGAAATGGGGATTAAATATCTAACCCTTTACATCCCAACAACTGTGTGCATGTTCTCCATTCTGTTCTCCAAAGTGCTGACATGGAGAATTTGTTTAACAATCAAGAGCTTTAGTTAGTGATCATTTCCTTTACTCTTGCAACCTTAGCACATGATTTAGGGGTGATGTTGACAAAACAGATGCTTGTCACTCTTTGTGTCAAAGAGATAAGAAATCTCCAATAACTACCAGTGCCTAATTTTCCATTGGAAAGGTAGGGTGGGGTACAAATGGCTTTCAATGCAATGTACAATACAAGAGAGTAAAGTGAACAAAATGGTTTGACCTCTGTCAGGGGGGATTGGATATAAATCAGGTCTGATGAAACAATTGGACTACCCCACAATTATGAGGGACATGGCTGGCCAGTACTCTCCTTAGTGGGACCTTGTTTTCACTAGCTTTGGGCTCATGAAATGAACTATGGAGAGTTGTGATTGGACAGTCTAGCACCAAAATACAGATTTAAAAAAAAAAAAAAAATTCAAAAGAACATGTATAGCTTTGTTATGTTTTCACACATAAGCCCTTGAGAGTGTTGTCTTGTTACCTTTGGTGATAGCATGGAGAAGTATGTTGTTCCATTACTTCTTCTATACAAGTAGTACATTTGGCCTGGTCTTTTCTTGAAGTTACAAGCAGCATGGTGAAGTTCTGCATCCCTTTTCGTTTCCTCTAAAACTTTCCTTGCCTGAAAAGAAAATTTAGCACAATTGTTACTTTTCTATTGAGGGCATTCATGAAAATAACAACCACATTTCTTTTCTAATCGAGGATCCAGAAATAAAACAGTAACTCTCAACAACACACATGACTATTGATCATAAAAAGGCCTTATCCCACACATCACTAAGCAAACTGTGCATCTCATTAACCAGCTGTTATAGTAGAAATTTACAAATGTCTTCAGATTGTATTAATTTACAAGGTAGACATTCTACAACAATAGCAACAACTTTCAACTTATTGTCGTGTAAATCAAAACAACCACAAAAATAAGAACTGTTTTCCAGAATTCAATCACTCATATTTAACACTTGACCTTAATGACACTAATGCAATGGTAAGCAATGGCTACAAACAAAAAAAACCAGACAATATGAATGTTCAGTGGCAACACTTAGTTGCTTACAAAGTAAATTTTTTAAGGAGTAGAAAGGGGTGGGGGTTGGTAAGAACAATAACTCAAGAAAGGCATCAACCATACACATTACCCAGGATTTATGACCATTACATACTTCTGATTAACTTACTAAAACAGATACCCCCTAATAGCTGAAAATCTAAAGACAAATGTAAATTAAATTCCAAAATTTAAGTCCACATTAAAACTCACTTGTTCCTGAAGATGACGGATCTGCTCTGCAATCAGTATCAGTTTATTACTTGCAGCACACCTGACAAACTGATCAGCGTTTTGTACCTCTTGGGCCAACACCACCAAATCGTATGGATCACCATGTCTGTGGACACGGTCAGGGTTTACAAGCTGCTTGGTAGCTGCTGACTCAGGGTCATCAACAGTATGTGGAGTGAGTGCTGACAAAACATTTTTACACCATTAGTGGGCTTGAAGTTGCTGACTAAAGATGGCAGACTAGCCAGCAGTTTTAGCCTGTTACTGGCTCTTGTCTTGAAAACATCAACCAGATATTGAGTCTCAAAAAGTCATTTTCTCCCTGAAGTGAACCAACTTGTGAGAATAACATGTGAGAAAACTGATTTGCACAATCTGTACAATAATAGCGAAGTGGAAACAGGATGTGAATTTTTCACCCTTGGACATAACCACCTTGCAAATTGATAAAAAGGTAGTTTATCTACTGTTTTGGCCCTTTCATTCCCAGTCGACGTAGTTGTCTGATGAGGTACCCTCTCCAGGGCATAAATTAGGAGTTTCAGTTTTTTTCTGTCAACATTTCAATCCATTTAACTTTGAAGTTAAACACATGGTTCTTGCACATGGACTTTGTTGCCCTGTACTGAGTTTAGAAAGTCAGGGGAAAACCAATTTACTTCAAACTCGGACAATATATTTTCTTTCCAAAGGTACTCTCTTTCACACATGTTAAAGAGTGAAATAACATGTTACGTCACAAGTTGACCTAAGTTTTTTAGCGACCCCGTCGATGAAATAATTTGTAGGAGTGATGTAGCTCCTTTTTTGTTTGTTAAAAGAAAAAAACGCTGATTTCTTTCTGAACAAATACAGTGATTTTTTGTAAATCATTTTTTAAGTGTAACGATGACTCTAGAATACAATCATATTTCGAAGAGTTTACTTTCCGGAAATTTCAAGGCCCAAATGCATCAACAACATCCGTTTCAATACTCACCCAACACTGCAGGATCATCCATAGCAAGGAAATACTTCGAGCAAACACTAAAAACCGTCTAGATGATGACTCAACCCAACCGAATGATAAGATACCTCAGCCTCTTTCTTACGCAATGAAGACTTAGTGATTTTCCTTACGCTCCAGGAGGCGAGGAGGCTGGGCTACAATCACCGCTGTACAACATGGATACATAGTGTTGGTGGTGTTACTGTCATATAGTGGTTTACCAAATTTGAGATGACTTTACGTTCATCACCCGTGAACAAGGTAATCTTCTTCCCGACCTAACCGTACTTTGGCAAAGTCAACCTCCTCTGAGAACACTTTGCATTATTCTGTACATACGTCGTGATTCTCTCCCTGCATGTGTCGTCAAATACGGCTACTTTTCCAAAGTCGGGCTCACCGTTGATGGAGGTGGCGAAAGGGGGATTCCAATCACTCACCACGCTGACTTTTCTAGTAAATCACGCATCACGGATAGTTTTTTTAACTGATCACGCATCACATAAGGAGGAGTAAGTACGCTAAGCTAATACTGTAATATTTCAACGCATCGGATGTTTTTATTTAAAATTGTATTGCTTCCAACGTTTTTTATTCTAGAATGAATTGCGTTTCACGTGTCATATCGCTTTTTTTTAGGCAAATAAAGACAACTTACTTGTTGAAACTAGACGCTCCGCGAGTGTTTACTCGGGCTTCTTATCGCCATATCGAATGGTACTTTACAAGTAACGAACACAATAAAAACAAAGTTAAAGAATCAGGATATATATAACTCAAGAGTTAAGCTTACTATAGATATTTACTATTCAAGTTGTTTGTTACTTCATAGGTCAAAGAGCGTTCACTTATCACGGAAATCTATTTAGTAAGTCTAGTAAATCACGCGTCACGCGCTTGTAAAATAGCAAATCACGCATCGCGTTGTGAAGTCCGGTCCCGCTTCACGAGGATAACTTGGTTTCAATCACGCGTCTCACTGCAAATTTTGGGGCCATCAACGCGTCACGCGAATACCCTTTGCCACCCTCTTTAAGATTTTTTCGGGGGTGACAATACACCTTTGCCATAATGGCGGAAAATCCGATGGAGGTTTGAGACTGGTTATGAATAATTTCACGAAAGCGAGGCCACCCGGGCACCGAAAATGACATTCCTGGAGCTTCCTTAGGAGATAGAAATCTCTCACAATTCAAGACTGAGAACTTGAGACTATGGTTGAAGGGCAGAGGTGACCCAGCGAAAGCTTTAAAGACAAAAGCAAGCTTGTGACAAGGCTAGTTTCGAGCACAAGATGCGTACTTNTGTCGGCGCGAAATCTTTCAATAGAAAAAGTCTACTTTTTAAACATTCATTCTTCTTTGAAATGCTTTCTATTTCTCTTTAGAGCTCTTCTATTCTCATTTCATACTGTTTCACAAGCGCGACAACACTCTGATCACTCTGAATGCATGCATCCTTCGACTCGACCAAATCGGTCTGAGTTTCGACATCTTTTGTCTTTGCCTAATTTTCGACATTCTTTTCATTAGGTTCTACAGTTGTAATCTGACTCTCTAGCTGTTCATTCGATTTATCATTTACGCTGCTTTCCGAGTGTGCACACCATGAATAAATCCCTGAATGATTGATGAGTAGTTGTTTTACTAGTGAATCTTTGAGGTGGAGGCTTTTTTTGCGCAGCGAAGTACGCCACTGAAATACCGAAGGTACAGCATTGGTTTGAAGGCATATTTTGCCCGCAATACTTTTCTTCAAGTCTTCCATTTTAAAATGGTGCGAGCAGACCATGGTTGAGTCCAAGACTTTGAAGCTTTTTCCTTCCTCTCGACGGATTGCATGAAGCCATTGCTTTCTCGCGAGTTTTTCTTTTGGAAACGAGTTTCTCGCGAGTTTTTCTTTGAAGTAGGATATTTATTAACCGTTCACGTCGCGATATCCCCTTGTAGTCCATGAAGGAACACAGCAGTGGCATGGCATTGTACATATTAACTTGACCCTTAGCTATATTAGTAGTCGATTCTTTGAGAAATAAAGCTTTTTGGATCGATTAATAAATTGTGCCAGAAACTTTTTGACAAGCGCTCACAAGTGCACAAATCCATGCCCGGGTGGCCTCATTCCCATGCACTAGTTTTAGTCTTCACTCGGCCGCCGCCATTATGGCAAAGATGTATGGCTTCTCAGTCACTAGCACTTCGTAGTTACATGGTCATGAATAGCCAAACACAACTATACACTGCCGTTAGTGTTACTTAGCGCTAACTGACTTTCGGCAAGAAGAAACTTCATCGTTAAATCGCTTATGATGGCAGCCGAAGGCAGGGAGGGGAGCCGAGGGGATTCTCCTGCTTAAAGTCATTGAGACATATGCCACCTTGGCCTGTCCCGATTGTGCTCGTGAAATGTTGGAAAGTTGCACACTGAAATGCTAAAAATTGCTAAAAAAAATTGTCAAAACTAAGAAAGTTGGCGCCTACATTTCTTCATATTTTTTAAAAAGCTTTATTTATCATTCTTTGTAACTTGAACTGCTAACATATCGGTCAAGAAAAATAGCTTGAAACTTAGCTTTAAAGAATTGCTCTCAGATATGTACGAAATGTAAAGGATACTTTTTAAGTCTATCCGACGGAACAGAAAAACATGCTTCATCTGACGTCAGTGCCGAACGATATCAGGGAACTTGAACGAAATTAGCTCTACTGACTGCATTCTCAGAATCTAAAACCATGTATCTCTTGAAGTTTTCTATGAAATCGTTGACTTCTCGCGCTTGATATGTGCTCTAATCCCATACAATATTTTGCTAAAAACTGCTCAGAAAGGCGGAAATGGCTCAAGGTATCTAGAGCCTCAAAAAGTTGCTCCAAATGCTAAAAGTTGCTCAAAAGTTGCCTAGCACAATCGGGACAGGCCTAATGCAACTCCAAATGTTTTCTAAAAACAGGTACACATTTTGATCACAAGGGTCTTAAATCGTGTATGGTTTACAATGGCATCATCATGCTATACTAGACGCATCAATATCTCAAGTCTTTTAGCTCAGTCTGGAATTTGAAGCTTGATACGGTTTTCAGTTTCTCATGATTGGTGCGTGAAAGGGTTTCAAACGAGGGATGAGTAGCAGCACTTAAAATTAACTCACTGATTCAGACGCTTCTGTGCATCCATATTTTTTTTCATATCTAATGTACGTTCAACTTAAGCTTGTCTATGAAAAACAAGTGATGGAGACTATTGAGGGCGGAACCAGGAATTTCAGGAAACACTTAAGCCTAAAATAAGCTGAGAAATATGTCAAGAAAAGCAAATTCTAAACACTTCATACTGGGTAATAATGCGCGATACAATCATAAAAAGCCGGTATGATGAGGGAAGATGGAGGTTCTGACTCCCATACCCTCCCCCCGACCGATCTGCCAGTTTAATTACAAGTTTAAAATGTGGTATTAAAATGAAAATGTACTGACACGCGATCAAGGATGATTTACACTGCTCAAAATACAAATAAACTTCTTGATTTCATGAGAACAAACTGTAAACACCTGAACAAATCGTTTACAGCGTTATCTAAGGAATACATTTTTTGTACAGAAAAACTTGCTCAGAAATTAATTATAAAATTTATTGCGAATTGTATTTTTGTAGCTTTTATTCTAGCTAAACTGATTGTAGTTCCATCAAATAATATCATTGGTAGTATTCAATAGGGCTTCATTTCTAAATCTGAGTACAATTTGAGAAAAGTTTTTTCATCTAAATCAGTGTAATGCAAGTCCAACTGCATTGTTGGATAAAATGCATTCAATTTACATTATAAAATACCCGCTATCTACATATCAATAACAGCCTGTCAATCTGTTTAAATTTCACATGCAATCACAATTTTTTAACTCCCAGAAGTAATTAACATGTAACTTCTCCTTATAATATCCACACATTATCCAACAAACAGGTAAGGAGAATACTTAAACGTATCAGTAAAAGTTATCTTGATCTAACACCAAATTCTCGTACCTAACTTACATGGAAATATGTAGCAGCTAGAGGGTAGAATTAACAATCAGATCTTGGGTGTAAAATTGGTTAATAAAAATAGTAGCTCGTGATTCGTGGGAAAAAAGTCAGATTATCTTAAACGATATAACCAAAAATATGGCAATCAATGCAAAAAACGAAAGAGAAGCGAAAAAAGAAGATTTCTGAGTGTCACATGGTTGCTGTGTAGAGTTCAGCAGTGGACTGAGCTGGGGAGGGTTTTATGGAGATGCACACATACAGTCTATAAAGGTCACAATTCCCCACATTTTTAGTTATTGATTTCAGTGCCTATATCATCTCGACGCAAATAAACCACACAAATAACTTCCAGCATTTAAAATTAATTCTATTGTTCTTCGGACGACACGCAATACATCCCCATCAGTGGGAAGAAAAGGATTGCGTGACGAACTAGTAATAAGCTGGTTTCGTAATGTGCGGTGACGTGACATAGCGGCCGAGCTACAAGTATTCAAATTGGTATAAATTACTTTTAACTGTCTTCTATAAAAACGCGGTGATTTTCTTATTTAAAATTACACGTTTCCCATGTTTCTTGGAGCCAGAGGAGGTGGAGGACCATCAACATCCTGTGTAAAAACCATTCAAATCAGGAGAGCAATTGGAATACAAGTACGTATGAAAGAGATGTCAGAAGTATGACTAGAGACAAAAATAAGAAATAAAATATTCAAGGGGTCGGATTTGGCTCGTCTCGAGTTTCAGGAAGAGAAAAAGCTACTATCATTTTCCTGTCAGTAGATGGTGTCCACAGGAGCTCCTTCTGTGAATTCACAAGTTTTGCTACGTTAAATTTTGCCGACTGGCGGTATTTGATATTTTGTTTGCATCAATGTTTGCCGTTTTAGGTTTCTAAAAGTTTTTCTGAGAACTAATTTTTGTCACTTTCTGCTCAAGCAATGGAGCATTAACAAGGGAGGGCATGTAATATTCTCAACTTTCATTACTTCTCGGATAACAGTATACATGTACTTCTTGCTGAAGACATTCTGAGAACCTTCCTTCCCTCTCTAAAAGAACTCACACAAAGACAAGTGCGCCACCTACGCCCCAGACATCAATTGCTCCCTGGGTCACTAGTTAATAGCGAAGCAAATTTTCATGCGTTTAATAGAAACTAACGGTACAAACGGCCAACCAGTATCGGGGAGATAGACAAGGTTGAATTGACCCTGTGAGAGCTCATGTCTATGCTCATGAATCCTCTATATCCGATCATTTTCTCGTAATTTTCTACAAGATATCTCACTTCTTCAATATCTACCTAGGCGTCACCTACTCGAGGAGGAAGTTTTGGAGATGAATCGGGTTCGTCACCTTCCCCGGGAAGTCTACAACAAAAATAAAATAATGTAGATAAGTCAACAATAGAAATAATTAGAAATAATTAATGCTAAATTTAACACTACTCTGTTTTCATGACCGTAACAGAAATAAAATAAAGTGGATAAGTGAACTACAATGAAATACAAAAGAATTAATGCTAAGTTAAACATTTCTCTGTTTTCATCATTGTTTTTTGAAAATAACACCGACAGTAATGTTAAGACTAACTGAAGGAGGCAGACGAAGAATACATATATCTTATTAACCAAGGGCGAGGGCCGTACTGGGAGAATATCGGCCCGAGGTCTTGACAGTACGGACCGAGCACAGCGAGGTCCGTACAAAAAAGACCGAGGGCCGATATTCTTCCAGTACGGTCCCGAGCAAGCTTGGTTAATAAGAGATTTATTATACGACTGAAGTTCAAAGGGACACAAGTGCGGTATCATTCGGGACCATTCGGGACCATTCGGGACAGTGCCCGGTCCAATACTGAGAGGATATTGACCGGCAATAGAGCATTTTGATTGGTTGATTTTAGTTATTGGCCCTCTGACTGCCCGAGTCGTGTAATAATAATTTATAAGACGTACTATATATTCACCGAAGGTATGAGAATGATAACAAGTTCAATTTAACCCTTTGGCTCCTTAAAGTGACTAACATCTAATTTCTCCTTACAAGTTCACCCCTGAATTACACATTTAAGGTCCTGAGAATAAAGGAAATGATCAACAACTAAAGAGGCTCTTGATTGTTAAATAAATTCTCCTTGTTAGCACCTAAGAACATATATGAAGAACATTTTAGAGAATATGCATACTGATGTTAGGGTGTAAGAGGATAAGAAAATTAAAAAAGACGACACCTTTTCACGAAGCTACGATTTACGTAAGCGATTAATCTCGCACTTAAGTTGTGTTGTCGATTGAAAGCTTCAAAGAAACGACGTTTTAGGATGTAAAAATTTTAGACCAGGTCATGCAGTAGATTCCATAAGTGAATCTCAGTAAAAGAAAACAGAAAAATAAACCAATAAGAGATGGAAGCAAAAATCCCTTAACCAGCAACCAGGGAAAGTAAGCACGTTTGGTAAAGCCACAATTTGTTGCGGTGCTATAAATAGCCACCTATTTGAGAAAGGGGTGCAAGTCACAATCAACCAATCCCAGAAAATAAACTTCGTCAGAATGCACGTGGAAAAATACTAACTTTGGCTGGGGTTTGTCGACGTTATAACCAGGAATTGGAGGAGGTGCCTCACTTTCACCTCCTTTTCTCACGTTCGCCAAATTCCCGTAGACGGCAAGATTCGGCTGAAAGAAAAAAAAAAGTCATAATGATGTGGCGATTTCACATTATGTTTCCTTTAACTTTTCAAAGAAGTATTACAATTTAACGAAACGATAATTCAATCATAAATAAACAACAGCGAGAAATAGCAAGCAAAGAAATGATCCTCGCCGGTGGACGGCAATTTTAGCAGTTGTAGAAAGGAAGTCTGAACCAAATTCAGGTTTTGACAATTTAAACCGTACCTTCCAGATACTGGTTGGGTGCTACGACCTACTTAGCTACGAAGTCTCACACTTTAGGAGCGAGGCAATTTTAAAGGATAATTTTAGAGAGAAAAATATAAATGTATTCACTGTTTGTTATGGTGAAAGAAGCACTGCCAAACTGACAAGTTAAAAGAGTAACAAACAAATAAACTGACACTTCAAATTTCAGCCAAACAAGACAAAATCCGACAAAATAAGAGTTCATTTAAATTAGATAATAATTCCGTGTTAAGAATTAAACTTCCAGAAACTGATTTGAATAGTTGATTCTTACATTGTCACTGTTTAACCTTGCGGTCTCTGTGCTGATGTAGTGTTGAATAGCTTTGTAAATAAACTCATACTGCGCCTGAAATCAGAATCAGAAAAATCTCAATCAGTTATTGACGATGTACGATTCAGTATGTACATACACCTGCTTTCAATAACGTTGTCATAGGAAAAAATTAAAAAAAAAAAAAGAACGAAAAAGCCAAATTCGAACAAAGTACAGCATACAGCTTTAGTATAGGACAATTGCCCATAACTGATGACAAAATCAAAGAAATATTAAGTGTTGGTTCCACCTACCTCTGTTTGTACCATTCCTGATCTCTGCGCTCTGACATTTTGAATACTCTTAGAAATATCAATTTCACAGTCAAGGCCTGCAGAGAGTGAAACAAACAATTACAAAAAACAAACGTACATATATCTTATTAACCAAGCGCGAGGGCCGTACTGGGAGAATATCGGCCCGAGGTCTTGACAGTACGGACCGAGCACAGCGAGGTCCGTACAAAAAAGACCGAGGGCCGATATTCTTCCAGTACGGTCCCGAGCAAGCTTGGTTAATAAGAAATTTATTATACGACTGAAGTTCAAAGGGACACAAGTGCCCGGTCCAATACTGAGAGAATGTTGACCGGCAATAGAGCATTTTGATTGGTTGATTTTAGTTATTGGCCCTCTGACTGCCCGAGTCGTGAAATAATCTGAGTTACTGTACAAAGAAAATTGTATAATAACTATAGTTTTCTCCAATTCACGGTATCAAAACTAGATAATTATGATGCACATTTCTAGAAGGGTGGAAGCCACCACTATTTCCACACCTCATTTCCCAAATTAAAAAAAATGTAGGATTGTGCTGTATGAAAATATGATTCTTTCTGAGACTTAATACGGACAGCCACTCTCAATAGAAAAAAAAATTAAAAAAATTAAAGCAATTACCTTGTTCTTTGATCATATTGACCAAACTGTCTATAACAATAAATGTACCAGTTCTTCCAATGCCAGCACTAAAAGGCAAATTTAAAGAAAATCTGTCAACCCTTTGATCTCAGAGTCCAGTCCATCGCTTGGCTACCCCCAGCATTTCATCAGGCTTCCCTGACACTTCCCTGACAATTCCCTGGTAACCATTTAAACTCCTGAGTGGAGAGAGACACTGTGAGAGTAGTGTTTAACCCAAAAACACTACACAGTGACCTGGCCTTATCTCAAATACAGACCCCCAGACCGAGAGTCCTGGGCCCAGTTGTTTGAAGGCCAATTAGCGCTAACCCAGGGTTAAATCTTAATCCCACTTTCCATATTTCTCTGTTCAAAAGCAGTTTTGGTATAATTTTCCCAATTCTTTTAAGAGCATTCAATCATCAAATTGTAGAAAAATGGAATTAAACTGAATTTTCTTCTAAAGATTTCAGATCTGAAATCATATTTCACACTAACCCTGGGTTATCTTTAGCCACTTTGAACAACTCGGCCCAGGGCCCAGTTGTTTGAGAGCTGATTAGCATGAATCAAGGGTTAAATTTTATTCTGGGATTCTTTATTCCTTTGTTCAAAACCTTTCTTGGATAATTTTGTCTATTCTTTAAAGGCCATCAAATCATTAAGTTGTAGACAAAAATAATTGTACTGAATTTCTTTTTAAGCTTTCAGATCTGAAATCAGATTTCACACTAACTCTGGGTTATCTTAACTCAGTTTTGAGGGGAAGCAGGGTTGGCATAGTGGTGAGAGCGCTCGCCTTCCACTAATGTGTCCCAGGTTCGATTCCCGGACCCGGCGTCATAAGTGAATGGAGTTTGTTGGTTCTCTACTCTGCTCTGAGAGGTTTTTCCAGTTTTCCCCTCTCCTCAAAAACCATTATCATTTGAATTAAATTATTTAATTTAGAGTTTATTTGCATTTACACATGACCCCACAAGCTGTTCAGCTTTAAACATTATTGTGTCTAAATAAAGGTGTTATTATTATTACCCAGCCCTGGAGCCGGTTTCTTGAAAGTTTCGGTAACTTAACAGGCTGTTCTCTTTTCATTCAAGATGGGGATTTCAAAAGTTTTGAAAATGATATGATAAAACTATCAGCTAAAGAAGCAAAAAAGACTGGTTTGGGTGCCAGAACCTGCTTTCCTATCCTTGAAATTTTGATTTTAAAACATGGCTTTGGGCTCGTTAAGTTACCAAGACTTTCGAGAAATGGACCCCTGGCCCCCATTGTTCAAAGGTTGGATAACATACTCCACTGGATAAATCTCTATCTGGTGGATAGTGTAGTACATTTTGCAGTCCCTTATCTGCTGAATAGGGATTTATCTGTTGGACAGCATTTATCCCCTCTTTATACAAATGGGCCCAGCACACAAACAATTAGGCCAATGCCTTCCCCACTAAAGGGTTAAAGATAAAACACAATTAGACAAGTGTAAAGAGGATAATTGTTAAATCAACGACCATTGGTGTTACCTGCAGTGCACAATGATTGGTCCAGCCATTGGAATAGACTGCTGCTTGCCGTTGACTTCATGAAGAATGTGTAAAACAGGGCTTGGATCCTTTGGTACACCATGATCAGGCCATCCAGTGTAATGGAATTGATATATTGTACTAGGTATGGGCTATAACACAAAATAAGTTGAAAAATTAGCTTTCATTTGCAATCTATCTGTCTACAACATTAAATACTACATCTTTTGGAGAATTATTCATAGCCATTACAACAGAAATATCAACAGTCTTCTGGGATGTTAAAAGTGCATCTTTTTTTTTAAGTATTCCATTCTGCTCTGCTTTAAATGCAAAATGCCACTGGTGTTTAAGTCGATTAAAAAGACTTTTAGGTAGGACTTCAGACAAGCTTAAACATTTTTTTGGAGGAACTAAGTTTACTAAGTATGTTGTTCTCCAAATTAAAGAAAATATTACTTATAATTCCTATTTTAAAATAATTAAAAACCCAACATATCTAAGACATTAGTTGTAACACTCACATTTGTTTCTGAAGTCATTTCAAACTCCCTCAAAGTATAGTCAGTAAATTCTGTCTCCTTCATATGCCTGACGCGATAGGGACCAACATTCCTAGTAGTTTCAGCGTCAGGCCAATAACGAGTGCACTTGTTCTGAAACATTACCATCCAAAGCAAGGGAAAAGATTAAATAACGCATGGCTTTCATTAGTCACTGGGTGAAGGTCTGCAGATGAGTATTTATACAGTAGCACACAGAGTTATCAGCACAAAAGTTCTCTAGTATACACTTAGAAACAACTGCAGTAAAAAGTTACTAGTCTAAGAATTTTGAAAAATGAATCAAAGCTTTGGAAGTCTCACAAAAAAAAAACAAAAAAACTTTGCTTTGGCAACAACCTGTTTTTCAGTGCTTGTAGTAAGCAAATCATAAATAAATTCAACCTCTAACTCCTGAGAATTATAAGTATTTAATTTCTCAAGGATAAAGCATTAAGGTCATGAAATTGAAAGAAATAATCACTAACTCAAGAAGCTCTTGATTGCTGGACAATTTCTCCTTGTAAGTACCATAGGAAAAGCACACAGAGAGCAGTATGGAGAACTCAAATACTGAATGTGGTGTACAGGCTTAAACACTTTTGTCCATGTGGTTGTTTTCAGGTTTTGTTTTACCAAGAAGTCAATAATCATGTTCACTGCATGAGATAAATACGGTACAAAACCATATCCTTCATATTTAGACAGCAGCTAGTAAGAGCTTTTCAAAGCCTTACTGTTACTTAAAAGTAATTCATGAATGTTATTGCCTCTTTCTCACCCTTCCCCGTTCCACTTCCTTGGTTGTCATAACAATGATCCGGCTGTTCTCCTGGAAAACCATGTGCCAGAAATCTTCCACAGTGCTCGGAAGGCAACCCTGAGCAGCAATGTATCGTTTGGATGCTTCCTCTGAGTCACTAGGCTGGGAATATAAAGGTCAGATGTAAATAAAATTAAGTCTAGTGAATAAAGGCTGATAGTTTTGAAAGAAACTGTTTGGGGCTGCATCGGTGGGAGTAACCAAATAATTTAAATATATCAACAAAGTTGAAGTGGTAAATTGGCCACTGTAATGATTACAAAAGCTGACGTTTTGAGCGTTAGCCCTTTGTCAGATCTCCAACGAAGGGCTAACGCTCAAAACATCAGCTTTTGTAATCGTTACGGTGGCCAATTTACCACTTCAACTTTGTTGATATATTAAAATTAAGTATAGGTTTGTTCACTTTAATAATGGTTCACGGCTGCTGTGGTTAACACCATTTCATTCCCAAAAGGACATCAACATAGCCATTCTACCTGTGGTGAGTAAACTGATAGCAATTTCTTCCTCCTCTCAGAAACAATGAGAATGCGAGATTTGTTGAATACTGCTGGCATGTCCATGCACCACGAATGAAATAAAGTCTGGTTACTTTGACAACACAGCTACAGCAGGAAACTTACCCCAACATAATTGGCATTGATATAGTCTGATCCAATGGTATTTGGATCAGCATTATCCAAAATAACACGACTGTGATCAACTGCAAGGTTTAAATTAGACACAAATGAACTCAAGTAATCCAACATTAAGAAAGTTAAGATGAGGTTCTATTGATCAAAGAGCAATTCCCTTCCCTTAACTTTCTCTGTCTTCCAATCCTTGAAGAAACAAAGCTAAGTGTAGTGTGAGGACTCTAAACCCTTTCCAGAACTGACTAAGACCTTTTTTCTTAAAATATCAGTACACTATCGATCAGAAAGGTGCTAAGTATAAAGAAATCTAGCAATAGGTGGATAAATATTTGATTCAATACCAAATTCTCAGAGCAGACAAGATTAAAAATTTAATGTATATTGGACAGTAAGGAGAATTAACATGAAGAATTCCTTTAATAGCATCATGCAATTAAAAAACCGAGTAAACCATATAACCATATTTTGAAAAAAAAATTCCAATAAAATACTTCTAAAATCCATGACAATACATTTAAAAAGCCAAAACCTTTCCACGTTAACTTAGTGTTCTGATTGTTTCTAACTTGGTCGTGCTTCTGTCAAGTGGACAGTTTATACACAGAAATGGTCATGATCTGTGAATTTAAATTTGAAAAAGCCTCACTTGCTTAAGCCATATTGGAGAAGGCATAATTGCCTTCTGTCATATATTAATGGACCTTGCTATGCTTGGTGTGCACTACCACAATGTTAGGCCAGTATTTACCAGCATGGTCCTCACACCTATTAAGTTATTACAAAGAGCTCACATGGTAGAATGTTCTTGTATCTGTTCTTTGCTTTGTTGTCAGGCCGTTCTCCTTCTTTTCTACTGTAAAGGTGTTTGCTTTCCTGCTTCTGAAGAACCTGTGTAGAGAAGAGATTAAAATTATCAATATACAACACTTCTCCCAACAGAATTTGTTACCAATGTCAAGAAAAAACAGGAAAACAAAAGGAGCGACACTCCCAGAGAAACAAACAACAAAGCTCTTTTCGTCCCTGAGGAACACAACAACAACAAAGCCTGTCTCATTATCTACGCCAAGCGAAGCAAACGATCTCGCAGCCCTTGCTTATATTATATAAATTGTTGAATTTGATTCATCTTTATTCAAATTAGGCGATAGATTAAATACTAGCAATGTAATTGTGGCGGGAGATTTCAATGCCCCGGACCTTAAATGGAACGACCTTAAACTGACATATTGCTCCTTCAATTCTGAACAGTTATTTGAAATCATCGATGAATATGGACTTACCCAACTAGTAAAGGAACCTACTAGATATGATAACATTCTCGATCTGGTGTTGACAAATAATGTCAATATCATTAACAATGTTAGGGTAATCCCGGGAATAAACGATCAAGATATGGTTCTTTTTGAAGTGAACCTGGCATGTAGAAAGAAAAAGCCAGTGAGACGAAAGATTTATATGAGGAAAAGGGCAGATACCACCCGTATAAAGAAAGAATCCGTAGACACAAGGTGAAATATATTTCAACAAAGGCTCACAGGAATTATGGACTCCTGTATACCACACAAGTTTACTACCTCACGCTATAACCTACTGTGGTTTAATCGTAGCCTGAGAAGACAGACAAGGAAAAAGCAAAGGCTATACAACAGAGCGAAGAAATCTGGAAACCAATCCCATTGGAATAAATTTAAATTAGTCAGGAAACAATTACACAAGAACTTGAATGAGTCCAGGAACAATTATCTTTCTGACTTTCTCCATGATTCCATAAAACACATTAAAAAACTAGGAAAAGAGGGTACAGATACCTAGGACCTCAAAGTTAGAAATGAAATGTTTATCGAACCGAGAGCTAAGGCCAAAGTGCTAAATAACCAGTTCTCCAGTGTTTTCAACAACGAAGAAGCAGAGAATATCCCAGACCTTGGCAAAAGCCCTATCCTGACTATTGGAACAATAAAAATCACAACCCATGGAGTTGAAAAGCAACTTGGCGAGTTGAAGGTAGATAAAGCGTATGGCCCGGNAACAATTCACGCCGCAATCCTTGATTTTTCAAAAGCATTCGACAAAGTTCCCCATCGCCGACTCTTGAAGAAACTTGATTATTACGGAATTCGTGGCCCACTACTTAACTGGTTTGAATCGTTCCTAACACAGCGTACCCAATCAGTGGTAATTGAGGGGGCATCATCTGCCCCTGTAGTTACGACATCTGGTGTTCCCCAAGGAACAGTCTTAGGACCGCTACTGTTCTTAATGTATATAAATGACTTACCTGATACTCTTAAATCTACTGTTAGACTTTTTGCTGATGATGCATTGTTATATGGGACAATTTGTTGTGATAAAGACACAGCCGATCTCCAAGAGGACCTGTTTAGATTAGAAGACTGGCAACAAACGTGGAAGATGGAATTTAATCCTTCAAAGTGTAAGATCATGTGTTTTACAACCAAGAGAGATCCACCAAAGCGAGAATACGTATTCTGTGGACAAATCCTAGAAGAAGTGGAATCTCACCCTTATCTGGGGGTAATGCTCGATAACAAAATGAGGTGGTCACCACACATTGAAACAATCACATCTAGGGCAAATAAGGTCCTGGGACTTATCAAGCAAAACCTGTGGAATTGTCCAAGATAAGTGAAGGAAACCGTGGATATGACACTTGTGAGGCCAAAACTCCAGTATGCCTGTAGCGCATGGGACCCTCATTACCAGAAAGCTAGAGCGGCTCTAGAAAGGGTACAGCGGAAAGCAGCCCACTTTGTCACTGGAAATTACGATTGAACAACGAGTGTGACGGAAATGCTGAAAGACCTACAGTGGGACACACTTGAAACAATGAGAAGACATGCAAGGCTCTCCACTATGTACAAGATGTGCCACGGCCTCCTAGATGGGTATTGGGGGGATTATTTGATGACAAACAAAGAAAGGAGAACCCAAGGAAGCCATGATTTTAAATTCAGTGTACCGAAAGGACATAAAGATATTTTTAGATTTTCTTTTTTCCCCAGGACAATAACTGAATGGAACAAACTCCCAAAAGAAATTGTTTCCAGACAATCCCCACATAGTTTTAAAAGAAAACTAACTTAAATTTATTTATCGGTAGTTTTAATAGTTTTTAATAATTTTTAATAGTTTTTAATAGTGTTGTATATTTAGTATAGTTTCACTTATTATTATCTTAGAGTTGGCGTGATGTCTTAAACGATTTTGCCGACATAACGATATTTAGATTTAGATTTAGAAAAAAAGCTTACTTCAAACTCCTCATAAAATCCAGCTTTTCCAGACACATTTTTGTTCTCCTTTTGTAAAACTTTGACTCGATCCTCAATTGCTGCAGCATTAATTCTTGTGTTGTTAAATGGCTGAAAGACAATAAAATCAAAATTTAAGACCATATACACATGATTTCAGTGGAGGATGCTCATCTGTTGTCTCTGGTGATGTTCCCTAACTGAGGGTTGAACTGAAAATTCCACAATTGAAGACCCAACCCATAGTTAGTAGCACATCAATGTGGTAGGAATCTCTGCCATGTTTGTTGTAGTTAAAATCAAGCAAGGGGGGGGGGGTGTTTACTCCACAAAATGTTTAATATGAATTTCCTCCCCATAATAGCAATACTTTACTCAATGAACAAGTGTTTTACATAATTATGAACTTCATATATTCATCGTATTTGATTTATCATCACAGGTTTATTACGAATCAACTTAACGGCCTGGTCCCAGTTGGCTTGTTAGTTCAATTGGTAGAGCGTTGCACTAGTATCGCAGAGGTCAGTGGTTCGAATCCCGTACAGGCCTGATTTTTTTCAGGTCTGATTTTCACTATTGCATAAATAGCGCTCTCTACTGAGAGGATCAAGCATCGTACGTAGTATACATTATATCAATAATTCCCACCTTATGCATAAAACAGTTATCCAATGACATTTTCAGTAATGACTCATAGTGATTCAAATGTTGTATAGAGGGAATTTCCCTCTGTCATGTCCAGAGGGTACACACTTCATCATGTGCAGAAGGGGAATACAAAATGCACTGGCAAAATTCAAATCTATTGCACAAATTTACTAGCTATGCAGTACACTGTTCAAGCTAATTTACCACTAAATGTAGAGAAATTAAAAGAAAGTACAAATAAGCTAGGATACCTTTAATGGAGAGAAGATTGAAAGGGATTCAATAACACAGATGGCAAAAGATTAAAAAATATCACAGCTTCTTACTGTTTTAAGCTGCACAACAGTGCCAGATTTTTCGACCATAGGGTTTTTTTTGTAGTGTTCCACAAGATCTGTCAAATCTTCAAATTTCTCTCCACCGCCAACATCATACTTCCCGTCCGTATGATGGCGGATCATGACATGAGTGATTTTGTCTTCCAGTCTACATATTGAAAAAAAGAAAAAAATCCATGTAATAATTATCATAAATCAAGAATGTGAGAACAAAATCATTTCCTTTATTCTGGTGACCTTAACTTATGCAATGGAGAATAGTATGGAGAATATGCATACTGATATTAAAGTGTAAAGGGTTCTGAGCGATCATGGTAGTTTCCATTATTGCTCAATTTTAATAAACCACTATCAATAAGATGATTGGTGCCAAATATTGCCAAATGAGCCTTCCTCATGTTCAAACTGTTTATTGTAACCTATGGTTTCCACCTCAACTTAACAGCAAATTTAAAGCAACCTTCAGGGCTTGACACCAATGGTAGCCAACTAGCCACAGACTAGTAGAAATTCAGTTTTGGATTGTGGTTTTTGGTTTCCACTGGCCAGTTTGGCTAGTAAACAAACTGAAATTGTTGTAACATCTAAATTGCCACCAGCCACTTGGCTAGTACTTAAGTTGAAAAGTTAGTGTCACACCTTGACCTTGAATTTAACTTCAATTGCTAATAACTAAAACTAAGCTCACCATCTTCTTTTTCGTCACTAAGAGAAATGAATAATTGATTATTTTGCTTCCATCTGCAGTGTTCAATGTGGGGAGTGTTCAAGGGGAAGCATATTAATAAAGTAGATAACCCAAATTATGGCATTACTTGATCACAGGGATTATTAATGCATTACACAACTGAAAAATATTTCCCCATTTTCATCAATCCCATTGTGATGTAAAATGTCTTTCAAATGTTAAGGTGTAAAATTTTTCAGTGAAAATATGTTTGTTTACATTTTTATCTGCCAGTTGATTGAACTGTGAGTCACAATCCTCAATTCTTGATCCTCTACAGTTTTAAGTATCTCGAGTTGAGTTTGAGTTAAGACTGTCAATTTACTTTTTAGGGGTACTGTAGCCAATCAGGCAAAAACATTTTGTACCACATGGTACAAATTAACCAATCACTTGATGACTTCAGCACAGAGAAAGTCTGTAATTCTGCGAACCCCACTCAAGTGGGGTTCATGCATATGTATGAGCTCTGTTACCTAGTAATGCGTGACGTATTTTACGTCACGTTTCACTGGGAGTCTTTGATGGAAGCTGTGTAGTAAAACCTGTTTGGATGCGGTGTGGGAAACTTAGGATAGATCAAGAAATTCTAAGCGATGTTACGTGCACGAATGACCGACAAATGTCCGCTAACAAAGCATATATGAAAATAGACTCCCGAGTACAATATATGGCACGCAACAAAAATGTAACAACAAGCAGTTACCCATTTCAACTATTATTCAATTAGTTTTACATTGTCAATTTACTTGGGTTAAAGATTAAGTTAAGCAGTTCATAAAGCAGGCTTACAATCCTTCATGCCCTGTAAGTGTTCATCGTCTTGGTCAACTTCCAATTCCAACATCCGCAGACTGAAGACCACAGCGCTTGGCTTTCTTGATTTATCGCATTCTTTCCTTGTACACAAACTCTTCCGGAGGACTTCATAGTGAACCGTGTATTCTTTATCTTCTTCCCTTCTCCGCTATCGTCTTTTTCTTCTCTTTCTTATCTCCGGATATCGCAAGATCAAAAGGTCATAGCCTCGTCATATAATAGCTTCTTTCTCAACTTCAGTGAGCAACCCACGAGGGTAAGTCCTCAGGCAAATCTCTTTTGTACTTCTCACAAGCCAGCTTTTATACCTTTACTTTAGTTATCTAGAATGTTCTATTACTATTTATAGCGTATTACAAGTTGTACTATTTTTGGAAACTCCTGAGTCACATGAAAGAAGTTTCTGGAATATTACAGATTATGGATAATTCTAGAAAAGTCTGGGATTGCGTGACAGATTCAGTAGAAATAATTCGATCCTCGTAACAGCGAACTATGCTAAATCTGGAAAGCTTTGTTAGCTAAGTGGAAGCGTGTTACAGTTCAACGAGCAGTTTAGTAAATGGTTTTGATCTTTGAAACTCGTAAAGATTTCATCCATGAAAGATTATGCAAATTTACGCCTGAAATGAAAGCGAACCGTAATTTGAACTTTTTGCTTACAAAAGCTTTGGTGATATTTACAAGTAAAAGTCGGTCTTCCTAAAGTGAAGACATTGTTCACTGAAGAGAATTTTATGCAGGTAAGGGGTGCTTATTTACTAGTCTTTTTTATTTCGATATCTTGTACCGTTTGTTTTGATTTATAGCTCAATTCCATTTTGTTTTGGTAGCCAAACGTGGAGAAACGAACTGAATGTTTGATCCCTGATCTCTATTGGATCACAGACGGGGCGATTCCACTCCGCATTCCAGCTGTCAAAGGACACGATTGCAAAATTATTGTTCACTTCTTTAACAGTGCACGCACACCAAACTCCTTCTTCATCGATTGCTTCAGCTTTGAAGCCAACAGTTTTTGAAAGCGATATCTCATTTTTCGTCAACTGTGCCTTTCGCTTAAGTGATCACAACAGGTTTGCGATCGAGAATGCCTGTCAACTTGTTTCGATGAATCTGCAAACGATCGCTAGGATACTAAAGGGTGTCCAGTATCTCTCGGTAATTCTAGTGCCTCGTTGTGCATGTGTCAATTAAAACTGGAATACTTAATGAATTACACACTAATTGTCCGTGTTGATGTTGTAATGATATGGTACAAAATCCTGCAACCAAATTGGCTATCACCCACAGTGCCCCAGTATACTTCTTTCAGAGAATCAAATAGTCCCTCATGTAACTCACCTGACAGTGAGAACAAAGTCTCCTGGCTTGCTTTGGCTTTCTCTTACCAGAAAGCTTCCATTTTTACCTTTATCCAACATCATGGTCTCGGCCTCCTTACCAGACATATGGCCATGAAACCATCTGGTGAAAACAGAAACTGATGTTAGATTGACACAATTGAGCTAACCGCCTCCCAGTTAGCTCAATTGGTTAGAGCACTGGATTGTGTTGTGCGGGAGGTCGAGGGTTCGAGCCCTGGCCAGACCAGTACTCATGGTCTTAAAATAAGTGAGGAGAATTTGCTACCTTTCTATAATCAAGAAATGGATAGATATTCTAGTCTTCTTGGATAAGGACGAATAAACCATGGGCCCCGTCTCCTGCAGGGTTAGGGGTAGGAGACGTTAATTTCCCACGGACGAGATTACTGTGTTGTGGATGTCCTCCCCTTGGGTGGGATAGGTGGGAATTAGCCCTGAAATGCCGCCATGGGGAGTGGTCAACTAATGTACATATGTACGTATGTATGTATGTAGGTATGTATGTATGTATGTACACAATATTTTCATGGTTTGTTGCTACTTTTTCATTTCAAACTTTGAATCTTTTTCCAACTTTTATTTTCAACTTTCAGACTCAACATTATCATTAGTAATCACAAGGCCTAAGCAAAATACTACTGTCAAGTGTTTATCCCAAAATTGAAAAATTAATAATTTTTTTTTTGTGCACATGGAACATTTTTACTACAATTCATTTGCATATCACTTTCTACTACTTCAGAGAGACATCTCTCTGTAACTAAGAACTTCTTGTTTGTTACCACAAAAAACAAACAAAAACCAAACCAAACAAAAAAAAGAGTTTAAAACCCCTTCAGTTTGTTCTGGTTTTCCATTCTTTTTCTCTATTTCTCATTCTTTCTCTCAGGGTCTTGAAAGTTATCTTACAAATTTCCCTATTTTTTCAAAAATAAAAGAATCTGTATGAACCCAAAAATTGATGCAATTATTCAAGCTATACTTAATTTGGCATTTTGGATGTAAAAATTAAAGCTATCAGTGATAGAAAAGGTAGATTAAATGCTCCCAATAAGTAACAATTTTAGTTTATTTATAGCAATCCCAATGGGTGAAACCTGTGGAAAAAGCATTTGATTCATATATTATGAATAAAGGTTCTTATTCAGGTGCAAATGACTTTGTGCTGAATAGGTTTTTGGTCCCAAGTTATATATACATGGAACTTCACAATGTACTTTCAGTAACATGCGAAATATAGAGCATCCCCAAATCTGTGGATCTATGCATTGCCTTCTGGCCTGACCTTATAGCCCCATGAACAGTTGAAAACAGCACCAACACTTAACTTTAATAACAATGAGTCTTACCTTTCTGTTGTTGGATCTGTGGAGTTAAGAGGAAATTTCATTTCAATGACCAGACCATTCTTTTCTCGCAGCTGCCCAGGATTTTCTGTATAAAACTGGATCAATTCTGACAAGGTGGCAAACTTTTCCCCTCCATATAAGTCATAAAAATCTCCTGTGTTCTGTATCTTTATATGCGTCACCTCACCATCTCTCCTATGGAAAAAAAATACACGTTGAACACTTAATACAGGTTTGACAGATTAGGGTCTATCGTAAAAAATGATAAAAACACCATTTTATACCATAATTGACCACTAATGTACAAAACCTTACTGAAAAATACTACTAGCATTGATTTCAGGACATGATCATGGGTTAAGTATACCTTGAAGCTTGTTCTTAGTTTTATTTGAGTGGTTCTGCCATAAGTGACTGTCCAATACAGGTGGAAGACAATACAAAAAGGTCATTGGGACCATGACCACTTAATATATTAATAAAGATGATGGCTGACTGGCAGTGAAAATTACTAACAGTGTTTAAGGTGAAAGAATTTCAGGACTTTAACAACTGACTGCTTAATACGGTGCCCATTGATACAGGCTTGATTGTGCTATGGTTCATTAATTACCAGGGGTACCATAAACAACTAGGGGCTCGTGGCAACAACTACTGCATATAAATCCACAGAATAAGGAAGAATTGATTTAGCTTTGCTGTAAAAATGTTTAAGGTCTAATTAATTTTCAATAAACCATTCTCAACATCATTCTAAAAAAAGTATACTGAGCCCACATCATATTCTCACTCAAGTGTTTGAAATGAGAAAATTAAGCTTTTAAAAACTCAAACCAGAGAAAAGGTTCATCAAGACAAGTCATCAAGAATAAAGAAAAAACTTAAGGAAAAATATTTAAGGAAAGCTGTATTCGTTGAATTTCTATTCATTAAGTGTTTTCTAAATGCTGATCAGATATGATTACTATTATGGTCAAGTGATCTGAGAATATCATACATTTTTCAAGGTGAGCAACAAAGCTTTGTGAAGATACAATACACTGTACATGCACCTCAACGTAAAGCAAGGAAAGCTTGACTAGTCTATGCATTCTGTGTGATTTAACACATCACTTGCTTAGTTGACAAGTCAAATGAAACCAATATTGAAAAATTCCCTTATTTTGGTAAATATTGCTTCCCAAAACCAATACAAAGACATTTGATCACTTTTGTGGTGCCATTCCAGAGACAAGCTTTTGCATTCAAAATAAAAATACAAGCTGGTGATTACTTGGAAATTGGTGGAAAATTCAATTTTTCAGTTCTCACTAGACATGTTTGCTGGTCAGTACAAATAGGTTATAAGATGTATGGCATGACTTTCCCATTTCTGGCCAGCCAATAGACCAAAAAATGAAAAAAATAGCCTTGCATGTTGTTAACATGTTCTAACTCTTCTTCATGTCATGCCTTGCAGACTAATTTGCTCCTGAAAATTGGAGACGGCATTTGAAATGTGTAACCTGCACTGTATCGTTCAATGCATCCACAGTATGAAGCTCTGTAATCCTGAGCTTATTTTGAAAACTGAGGTCCCAAATGATAGCATAATAAGTTTTTGAAGAAGTAGAAATGATATAAACCATTTCAGAAATACTCACTAGAAGAAAATTTCTACTTCTAGAGAGACTTCCATCCAAACTTACAGCAAAAACATACAAATTGTTTTGACATGTCACAAAGTTGTTCCCAAACTTAGAGTCATTCCCTTAGGCATGGAATTGTGTCAATTTTTCAAATGAATTTTGTATCTGACATCATTTTCCTAGATGCATATGATAAAAGGACTTCCCTAGAGTTCATATTCTTAGAATATAACATTACCCTTAGGCTCATAGCCTTAAAATATCAGATTACAAGGTGCAGGAAATAGAAATTCCAACCCAACATTTTTTATCCAAACAATCATGTTAAAAGCTTGCCAGGTGAACACAATTTAACCTTCAAAAAATTAAGGCCATGTAAACCTACTTACATAATATCTAACCCTAGGAATTTTTGTCTTGAACCAAGTAAAGGTAAGCTAAAGCTTTCATAAGTCAACATTATAGCATTTTCCACACACTCTTCCCCTGACCTCTATGAGCCGTTTGGCAAAGTCCAGCGTGGGAGCATTATCCTCATTAAAAGTGAAGAGTAACCCTTTCGATTCTCCTCACAACTGTCATTTCTTATCTCTCGTGCAAATGTGTAAAGGAGATCTGCATAATGATTTAATTTATTCTTCCTAAAGCTAATTAAAAGTACATGTTTACATCTTCAAAACATGGAATGACTTGAGAATAACTTGACAAAATGTTCTGACAACATGGTGTGTTTTGACTTTCATCCAATTTCACTTTCACTGTCTTTTGTAAATTGAGTCAATTGTTTTTCAAATTTCTACAAAATACATTCCTCCAGCAAAACGTACGTCTCTTTTTTTCTAAAACAAATGGCTCACACGATCGTAGCTTATAGACGGTACAACAATAATCTGCTTACACGGGAGATGTTTCAGTTTTCAAATAGAGTAGCTAAAGATGAGATAATATTTTAAACTGTAACAAAAACAGATGCACTATTCGTAACGAAGTGAAAAATTCCGTGTGACATCTGTAGAAATGCGTGGGTTTTCTAATGTTTCCAGTTCTCTTAAGAGCTGTCAGCCGCATTACCGACCTGTCATGGAAGACGGCTGAATTTCAGACCGGTTTTCACCACAAGAACTGTTGGATCAGATAATTTGAAGCTTCGTTCATGAATTTTTAAAACAAGATTCAAATAACACAGCGGCTTATTATCTGAGATAGTGGGTAGATAGAACACGATTAACATTCAAATTTTTCATCGTGCTTGCAAAATGCAAATGCAGTAAAATATTCGCCCACAACTCCTGCGTTAGGGCACGCATAATTACTATTGAAAACATTGTTAAAAGGATCTACTTTAACCTAGAAACTTAGATAGGATTCATCTAACGAGTGATAAACGCTTCTTCCCTGTCGTGTTAGCACAGTAAGGAAGTGAGCTCAAATATGGCTGCGGCATCAAGCTTCCTAGATCGAATCGTCAATGGGGTCTTTATTTCACTATTATACACCTCTGCTTTGGGCCAGAAATTTATCCATGCCTACTCGCCAATTCATACAAACTCCCTTTCTATCATTAAGAAATGAATACTTACCGCACCGACAAAGTAAAATCACCAGGATTGCTTTTGCTGGGCCGGACAAGATAGCTGCCATCAAATCCTCGCTCTAACAACAACTTTTCGGCATCGAAGCCCGATATGTCAGAGTGAAACCATCTAGAATAACGAGCAAACACCACAGCATTTCGTTAGAGAACACGACTAAAATATATATCTAACGGCGGTTATACTAATAATTACCTCCTTGATGGCATATTTAGGTAATGAATGTGGGTAAAGTTGGCAGACGAACTTTGTGGTAAACGATGCGAGCAAGCACTAATGATCAGGAAGTGAACATTTCACTCCTCCCACAGGAAGCTGGAACTTAACCTCGATTGCGCGCTAGATCCAGCTTGTTACGACCACAACAATTTTAAGATGGCGGATAAAGCTGGAAACTCAACTCACAAAGCAGAATTCGCTGATTTTCCTCCTGTAAACCTCCTAAATACACTTATTTCATCATTTCCAAGTGAATGGCATGGAATATTTGCAGCTTTGAATTCAGAATTCTAACCAGTTCAAGCAGCACGATTTTGGCTCCAGAAAAAGTTGTCAAGTAATAGGTTATCTGACATTCCTCCGAATTGGACCGATTTCATTAATCACCTTGCGGGCTATTTTCCTGTGGTGTTGAATGATAAACTCTTTTTCAAACTCAAATTTCTACTTCTTCCATTGAACATGCAAAGGAATATTCTGGCGTTTATTTTACATGAAAGTAGTGTGTTACCTTCGGAATCTTTGGAGAAGTTGGTTGACTCTCTAAAAGAAATAAAAGAGTTGAAAGGTTGGCGTGTTACGTATGTTAATATTCTCCAGTCAAAAGTGAATGATTTGAAGAGAGTCCAAAGGGAAAAAGCCGGCTGCTCTGACCAAGGTGATGGAGAAGGCTTCGACGATTTCTATTTTAATTGCATTACGGAAGAATCAAAATCTAGGATTGATGAACTTGTCAAGAATAAACAAATGGCTGAATCTTCGCGAAGCATTCCTTGGTTGAACCAAAAGCAAGTTAACGAGATAAAGAAAGAAAAAAAGAGTATGTCAGAAAACCATCCTGCTTTACACAGAGACTGTCAAGTTATTGATCAAGATGATGTAGACATGGTTGATGTGACAAACATTTGTGCAGATGATGTTGATTCAAAAACTGATACAAAACTACTTGAGACTTATTTACAAGCTCCTAGTGATTTCTATGACAGTGATATTGAAATAATTAATGTTAATGAAAGTTCTGAACACCACACAGATAGAATAGCTAAAGATCCAGACTTCAAGGTGCCTCCACCCCCGGAACACTTGAACATGGAGGCAGAGGATATTCCAGAACACTTGATCCCTGATAACAAGGCTACAGCTGATTCTAAACTCTCTGATGCTCTTCAGCCAAAAATCTCTGCTTTAAAAAACTTCCTTACCAACCTGGAGGCGAAAGAAGAGAATTACTATTCTTGCAACGAGCTTGATGTGTTTTCAATGTGCAGCTGTCATGAAGTAGAATATATCTGCACCCATTTGCACCTTAAAGGCTTGCAAGAATCCACTGCTATTTCTCTGTGTACAAAATTTGTTAACTTGAAAGTAGACCCAAGCTTTGGTAATGCATGTGTTTTTGCCTCTCAATGTCTTCTTCCCAAAATACAAGAATTAGAGCATGCTGCCTCAAGAGCTCTTTTTATGGCTGTGACCCTGTTTTCAAAAAAACATTCAAGAGCATTTTGTGATGGTGTTGCTGTAAAACTTATTCAAGAGTCAAATTTAAACACTCCACAAGTTGATATTATCAATAAAATAGTCAAGGAATGTTTCACTGAAGATACAAAAATTCATTTGTTGGAACTTACATTTGCAATCAGGACGGATCATCAGGGTCATCTTTTCACATGGTCAGAGAATACTGTCTCTGTTGTACAGACAATGGTTGACTCAAAACCAGAATTCAGTGGCAATTTGTTCAGTATCTTTGCTAGAGTGTTAGAACTACAATCTCCTCACCTTTCAAAGTCTCTAAAGTTTGCCAAAATGTTGTTAGCAGTAATGAAGACTTATGGACAACTTGTCTCTGCACATTACAGCACATTTCTGTATATACTGGAAGTGAATGAGACTTTTTTAAAGAAAGCAGGGTTAGCTGCACTCCAGAAAGCAGCAAAGCAATAAACTGTAGTGAGGTTTATGGCATTTGAAACTTATGAAACTTTTGATAAACTGTAATTTATGTATTTAAAATAAAAATGCTGAGATGAACAATTAAAAAATATGACAAATAAGATTAATCAGGGTTCAATTCTCTATTGGTCATCCTTGATATCCATTGCCAAAAATGCACTAATTAGCTACTCAATTTTCCTGGTCTTTCTCCAAGTGTTGTTTTGTGTATTATTGTTGCTTTAGTGAGGTATACTCTCGATCTCTTTTTAATTTTTGATTGTTATGTTAGTGATGCACACTCTTTCTTTTAGTGTTTGACTGTCATGTTAGTGATGTACACTCTTTGATTCCTATTCAATTGTTTCACTTATCTATTATTGACATAATATCAGCTGAGATTATTGACTATCGATTGTCTCAACCGAATCTTGACCAAGTCTACTGAGCAAGTGTCAACCAACTTTCAACCGGGTGTGGACCAACTATCGACCAAGTGTTGACTAAGTGTCAAGCGAGTGTTGACCCATCCTCGGAGATCCAGGGGCTGTGAGTCGATTTCAAGTTAGGGCAGAAGAGCCCCTGAGGACATTGTCTAACAAGACTAGTTCAAACGGTCGCAGTCGTTCTGGCATCTGATTGGTGCCAGAAAATCTTTGTGTTTTTCTGCCCAATCAGAGTGAAGTGTGCTTTAGAGTCCTTTCGTGTGTTTTAACACGGATATATACAAGAAGCTCAGTTCCTCCGG